TCATTGAAAACGTGGTTGCCCCCTCGTGCCCAGAAATGACAAATCGATTGCACAACCCGGTAACAACCAGCTTTTCTGTTCTAAAAGAGACCCACTACCTTCCATAGGCAGAGGTTGCCGCTTAATGAAGCACTGGGCTTCGACAAACCGGCTTTTTCGAAATGCGCCATGCATTCCGCTTCAATTCATTTTGTAGGGATCTGCCAACATGCCGGACAGTGGTCAAAGCTTTGTTGATAAGAATTTCATTTATACCTTTTGCATATTTTGCATATGTTGAACTACTGTAAATTTGTATATCACACATCATATGTCTGATTGATTCAACTGTGCGTCCACCAGTTGAATGGGAAATCTTGTTTAAGATTCGGCGACCTTTCGTGACATAATTTACTCGCACAGATGCATAAATAGGGCACCAGGTTTCGTCACGGTAGCGTTTTACTATAGCTTCTATAATCTCTCTATAGGATAGTTATGGTTCCACCTACTGTTCGGCTTGGGAGGGGCATTTTGCATTTTCTCATAAGTTTCTTTGGTAGCCCACTTAAGTGAGTCGCGGTGAGTCCTGTTAACTGTTCTAAAGCTGCTAAATAGTAAAAGTGACCCCCTTACGGTTACAAGAATGTACAGGTCTTTACCAGTGGCCTGTGCTTGCTTTCGCTGACTACCAGTTGTTGCCCTTACCAAGCCCCAATGCATCTTACGTCCCCTCTAACTATTTGAAGCATGACATCATGGAACCAACAAAACCTTTTTAGTTTCCCAGCATGTTTGTATTTTTATAAATGGCATCTTGGACCCAACAAAACCTTTGTAGTTTCCCAGTATGTTTGATGGGCGATCTAGGATATCTATGAAAGTTCTCAAAATTTTGTACAGATAGGCTCATGCTACCTTATGCTCCCTCCGTTTCAGTGACAAAAAAATGCGTTTGAAAATAGCCTATTGCCTTTCTTGACCCTCAATCGCCTCATACATCTCTTTCCTGCTTGTTTCAGTCGGAGCGTGAACTTCTACAGATTTCCTAATGATATGAATGAAGGAGAAAGATAGGAACGACTTTCACTTTTCCTGCGTCGCCGAGAAATACCTTCACAATACGAGGAGCAGGGGCAGCTGTTGCGAGAACCTTCTTTCATGAATTAAACGTATTAGGTTGACGGGAAAGTTCTGTCACATTTTTCAAATTAGGCTTATTTTTATAGAGGCGTGTAATCAAAATTGTACAGCAATGTTACTGCGGGGTCCTTGCCAGTTTTTGAGCACCTCATGGATGCCATCGCTTCACAATGCAGGGAGGCGCGACGCAAAGTTGGACATCATCTCAATCTTGACTTGAACTCGGGTTATGGAGGTTTTCTCGTCCACATAACGATTGAGTACGGGAGGCAACTCGCAGTTAGAAGGAGCAATGTCTGTGCTACACCAGTGCAAGGGGAGAGCCATCCAGCTCTATTGCATGAGGTACGGCTCGAACTTTTTGGACTGCGCTGCATCATCTCAAGAAGGCGGATTTTGCGGACGAATTTTTTCCTTTGATCGACGATTCGCTTCAGATCTCGTAGCTACGTTGCGCAGGGATTGACCGAGGAAGCAGCTTCTTCATTCAGCCACTTTTCCGACCCACTAGCTCCGCTCAAGCTGAGTTCGCATTCTCCATCCAAACGTCACTTCGTCAACAAAACCCATGTAGGTCTCGTCGCTGTGAAGCATTACGACTGGTCTCCCTATTCCAGCTCCATGCAGTTTGCGTCTGCCAGCTATCGATGCTGGCGTCAGGGTTGGTGAAGAAAGAGTATTGAGGAAGTGTTTGAAGTCGCTGCCGGTGTAGTGGATCGAATCCTTGTCCATATTGCAGAAGAAGAAGCAGGAGTCAAGCGAGTGGTAACTAATAGAAAGACCACTCCTTGATGTATAAGTGCTCACATTACCGGTATACCGCCCCCCCTTAGGTAATGGGAAAGTAGTGAAACGTGGGTTACAGAACTTTTGCACCCAACAATAATGTAAAGGCTTCTCTAGCTCTTTTCCGTATGCAACACGATATACCAACCCAGCAGGAATTTACTGCTTTGTATGGGCATTCAATGTATGTATAAGAAGCAAACTCGTATGCCCATCTTTACACCTTACGGTACATGCAATCGTTGTGTGAAACACATTGTGGAGACCGGGTCGTATTTGTTGTTGGAAGCGCGTACGGCGAGAACATCCTCTCAGGTGGGGGGTCCGTACCGAGACTCTCCTTGAGGGAACCTGACAGTTCTGCCTATTTTTCAACACATCAACAACTGTCGACCCGATTGACACTTTATTTCCTCATCTGCCTCATTCGGGATGATTCCAGATATTCTATCTCAGTGTAGAGTCAATGGTGAGTTAGACCAGGGCAGCCCACTCACGAAATCTCGCTTCAAATTTGACCCATCATTTACAAAAAAGATTCGGTTTGACCTTCCCTACCGAAAAAAACATGAGAATGATACTCATCTGATACTATAAATTTTGAGCGTTCCGTCGTTAGACGACCCGGCCTCGACTGTTTACTCTGCCGCGATTGCGCCATGCGATCTCGATCTAACCACGCAGAGGTGTTGGGAAGGTATCATTCAACCAGTAAGGCCTTTTGAGTGCAAGAAAATGTTATTTTACGCTCAGAAAGGTGCAAGCGTATTTGTTTATTGATTCATGAGTCGTTAATCATCACCCCTTGCTCAATTCTGAGCTTACAGCCTGGCCCTGTATTCTGGGGTTTTTTCAGATATTCTCCGCAACATGAATCATGAATGTTCAATGAACGTACAACATCTAACTATCCCTACTCTTCCCATTTTTGAATGAGCCCTGCTCTTACGACCACTTCTCCGTCCTCGCGGTCAGGAGGACGCCCAACCCCCTTCTGTTTTCCACAACGATGGCGTGCGCTGAATTAGAATCCTCCGCTCGAGTGGGAGACGGACAAGAGAACCGTAAATCGCCGCTTCGTCGCGCGCGGCAATGGGCGCGACGTTTCCTCAATTTGCACTACCCTTTCGATTGGAGCATCGGATTTCGTGTAGACAAGGACATGGTAACACATGTCTATTTTCGGTCATACATTGTCTATTCTCGACCAATACCACCTAAAATCGTCGTCATCAGCGCGACGTCACACGCGACGCTCACTGGCGCGGCGTATTACGATTCTCTTGCCACATATTCCGCTGAGTAGTAGTCACACTGTTGCTGCACTTTCTTCACCTTGAATGGTATTGAAAAGTAATGGTATTTCAAATAGTCAAATAATTTTCGCCGTCGTATTTCGGAATTTCAGAATTCTCGGTCCATTGATATTATACTTGCGTTGGCAACTCTGCCTCACAAAGTTGTGTTTCAATTAGACAAGGATTATTGGAACTTTCAGGATGGTGCTCACTAGTTCATTGAAATCCTGCCTAATCCTGTTCTTATTTCTGACCGATGCATCCATAGCTATGCTCCGATGTGGGGACGATGACATGAAGCAAGGATTTATAAGGAACATGTTAGAAAGCGGCTGCAAGGGACGAATGGGTGAGTTTCAGCAGTATCGAATTAGGTCAATGCACTAATACCGATAGAGCCTTGAAACCACTCCCCTCGGCTCATGCAGGAGAAGTCTCCAGTGTCAATAACCTATAGTGTTCATTTGTTTGTTTATTTGTTTGCCTGTCTGCCCGGAAAATCCATACTAACTGAAGAGCAACATGGAGAGGTCAGGTCAAGGTTGAGATGGGAAGGACATGGGGGAAGGTGTGTGAGCATGTGTAACTTATAGTAAGCTCCACCCACAGTTGGCGGGGCTGCGATTGGGATAAGTGGAAGAAGATTGGTTTTATAAGGTGGGGTGGACAGACCAAATAAAGGACACACCTGAAGTGGGCGGGACGGCTCGAATGGGCGGTGCTCCCTACAAAGTTCAGTAACTTGAGAACTAAGAGATAGCAAAAAAAAGTTAACTACGCATGAGAAAATGAGAAAATCAAATAGTAAACGGATTCATAGAGCAGTTCGATTCGCCAGGTTCAGCGGCGATCCAGTCATCTGTTTTCGGCGGCATCGCGCAAACTAGTGCTTCCAGAATTCATGACAAAGCGACGAGTCGATTTTGAAACTAGGGGGCATGAGAACCTTGCATTTTGATTCGAATTAAGGCGAGGGCTTTTTTGAATAGATCAAACAGTTGTTAACACACAAGCAGTCTCACAGTGGGGTACAACTATTAGTTAGCACAGCTAAAATGTAGAGCTGAGATATTCGTGGGAGACGAAGCCGTACTTCGGCTACTGCTAGTAGCAATGTCTGAAGAGACACTAAGTACAGTCTCTTTCCTTTTGCTACTCGAGACAGGCTGGCATACTGCAGACAACATTGGCCCAGAGCCAACACACTGTAACGGAAACGTTCAAGCGATAAGGCATGGAAATTCGTACTTGCTCAAAAATTATTAGCAGGGTACATCTGAAAAGAGCGAAGTCAAACGGCCAAAAACCTGGCGGAAAACCCTTTTCTCTGCACGGAAATAGGCTAGCATTTTCGGACAAGTTTTCCGTTGGCATCGTGCCAGCAATCGCTTTGATAGATGCGGCACGTATGCATTCACATAATATAATGTAGTAAGGCTTCATCTCGAGTTTACTTCAGAAATGAATCGATATGAGTGCCGGTGTTGATGTGACTGTCCGGCCATGTGGGAGGGTGGGTGCAATGGGCGTTTGGGTCGTCATATTGCACCTTGTTAGGCCTATAAGACGCCCTCAATTGGAAACATGCAATGCGGCGCTCTGGCGAGTCACACTGCCTCCGGCTACGGCCGTATCTACCCTAATATTGTCTTACGGCGATTTATCGCGCCTTTTGCCTCCAATACAATTGCATGGTAGGTGAAGGCGGTTGGCGGTTGAAAGCAGTGCAGGATAATAAGAAACGCAATAAGATAATACATCCTAGCAAGGAACAGAAAATTTGGCACCCCTGAGCAGGTGCTGCGTCGCCGCCTTTTTTCGAGAAAGGTACCTTATATTGCAGCCCTGTTTGAGCGCAGCAACACGACCCGGGTCTATCTATCTACCGTGTTCCCCCCCGCCCACAGAATGTCCACCGATCCCTCAAGCTCTAATCGCTTCATTTCGAAAAGTAACATGTATGGAGCGAACAAGGGATATGAGATATGATGAGTACGTGCAACGCGCCATATCTACCGCAACGATTTTATCCTGACGATGCCAACGGGAAACTCGTCCGGACCGCTTCCACAATTGTGTTTAGTAGCAGCTTTTCTTGCGGATTTACCATTCACCGTTTTACTTCGCTCTTTCGCCTTTTTCTCCACTACACAGCACCCTGCACCATTTTAGTCCAAGTGCCAAGTTATCGTGCCTTATGCCTTCGAAGCCGTCTAGCTCATTCTTTGCCCCTTACCCGATTAAAATGACAACTTCTTACTTCTAGGTAAGATTGATGCCTGCTGCGTAGCTCATATGAAATGCTATGAAAAACGAGAACCACGGGCTACTTGTGACGAGACACTTTGTAACTGTGCGCAAGAGTCGGCTAAGAGATTGATCGGCTGTTTGGTAAGCTTACCTTGGAATAATCATCACCATTTCGTGCTCGTGAGAAAGCAGTTATTTCTTCTCTTTCACTGAGAAAATAAAGCCCTGTTCTCTGTAGCGATTTCTGCCAATTGACATCTCCAATAACTCATATGACTAACTTGTTCCTAGCTGTCTCTAGTTTTCTACTCTACTCTGTCCGACTATTTCTACTCTTTTCTAGATCCACGTTGCTGGCCTATGCGGAACGACTCGGGCTTTCGGAGCTCAGGTGTACAATAAACAACAGCCAGAGGCACGCCCTTCGACCTGAGGTGACACCTTCTTCCAGCTTGCTTCAAGGAGATCCAAGTTCTGCACTACTTGTCGCAACCGAAAAAAATAGCTTTCTATGGTCCCCTATATCGCTGTATGATAATATTCAAGTGACTCTATGTCTAACGGTGAGATTAGTTTAAGTCAAATTCCTCACTGTTCCTTTCTATGAACCATAACATTATAATAATAATACTGGTAATAACCATAATATTAATAATGATAATATAAATAATAATATTAACAATGTTGTTGGCGCAGCCCATATCTCGGGGCTGGAGGGAAGTGTCCATAAACTCGATTCTAAGTTTCTTTTGTGAGTTTGTGTGGTTTTGTCTTTACTGTTGCCGGTTGTGGAAATGAAGGATGAAAGGTGCGGCGGCTTATTCTGTGTTCTAATACTTTGCGGCAGCGATCTACTAGAGCTCCACGCACGTAACCATAGCGTTTCGAGCGAGCCCAGCACGTCAGCGAGCTAGGGAATCTGGGTTACGCAATCTAGGCGCTAGATCACTCACAGACCACGCTAGTAAAAGGTGAACTTCCATCGTCTTTAAGCTATCATCGTCGTAAAGGAGTGGTGGGCATGGGCGATAAGAGGGCATCGGACAGTTGGTACCTCCTATCGCCCCATACTCTCTACCAGCAGTCTGCTACCCTCCTATCTCCCCATACTCTACCAGCTGTCTGCTACCCTCCTATCGCCCCATACTCTCCACTCCCGACGCTGCTGGTCGCTGGTAGACGCTGGCAGACGCTAGATCGATACCTATACTTCCCTAGTCGCTGACGCTGCCGACGCTCGGAACGCTGGTGGACGCTATTGGTCGCTGGTGGACGCTGCCGCAAAGTGTGAACGCAGCCTAAGACTTTGTATTATTTATTCCAAAATGATAATTCTCCGAAATAAAGGTATACCTTTCACTAGCGTGGTCTGTGAGTATCTAGCGTTTGAAACAACTAGTTCCGAAACACGGTAAATCAACTAGCCGCTTTATTCGAATCATTGCATGCGCTTATTG